TGCGGCATGTCTTTAGGAGCTTCGCAGTGACTTCGCGATCGGTTCGTGGGAACCTTTGATCAGCTTTCAACTGTGCGTCACTCTTAGTTAGGCAGTCTTGCGCCCACAAGTAAAGTTCATCACCTGGGCTCTTCTGAAGTCTACCTATGGCCATTAAAAACTTGGTTTACATAACCTCTTGCTTGGCCCGCATCCTCGGGAGGGGCAGGAAATGTCAAATCCTTCACGTCTTTGATGCGGACGACATCCTCCTCTTGGGATGCGAAACTTTTGGTCTGCTGTGCGCTGGCGGAGTCTGGGAGTGTGCCGTGAGCATCACCTACCGCACTGAAAGCAGCACTTGGCGTGCAAAATGCAGCGCCCCCCTGAGTTGCATCTCCACTGTTGGCGTCTAAACCCACTTCGTTCATTGAGAGACGGGGGCATGACAATTCGTCGTGGGAACCACCGCAAACCCTACACTGGCCAGTGGGTTCGGGTTCATCGGCATCATCATCCTCGTTCTCGGAACTTGATGAGGACTCTGAGCTCGCGTCTGATGCAGCCTTAGGGGTGGTGTCGACCATTCCCGCACTAAAACTTAGGGGGATTATGGGAACCGGGTATGCCTTAGCAGCTGCCCTTGCCGCAGTTGGGGCAGGGCAGGGAGCTGAAGCCATTGGAGGAGGAGCCGCGCTTTGTGCCGCGACCAAAGTGCTAAGCTGATGCACCATTGAGGCTAGGGAAGCAATTTGCTGCTTAACATCTGCTATCTCACTTTTCTCATCCTGACTACTGCTCTGCGCGCCAACGGCTGCGCCTTTGGCGGACACAGCACTGTTGCTTGCGGCACCTGCACCTACATCGAATGCGCCAGTAGGGGCTGCGCCCTTTGCGGACGTGGCACTTCCTTTGGCGATCGCTGCTTCGGCACATTGCTCTGAATCGGTAGGGGCAGAACCCTTTGCGAGTCCCGCACTTCCTGCGATGTCCTGTGTTGGGCCGGTAGGGGGCGAGGCTCTTTGCGAGTCCCACACTTCCTGCGGCAACATCACGTGGGGTTGCAACATCCTGGAACGTGCCATGCAGGTTGGCAGAGGAAGCACCGGGCTGGGCGCCCGAGTCAACACCAGTTGTATGATGAGGACCCACTTGAGGTGCGGCACTATCTAAACCCTGTTGTGAGGATCTATCAAGTCCACTCTGCTGGTTTGCTTGGTCTTGCAATCCACTGGATGAAGCCCCCGTTTGGTTACCCAGTGACACATCCTGTCCACCCAAAATGGGGGAGCTCCGGTTATGCGACCCTTTGGGTTGAGGGGTAATAGAATCCGTACCATTATCGGTTTGTGCTTGCGGGGCACTTTGCGGCGAGCGAGTCGGAGGCTGACGGACTTCAAGCAAAAGGGAAACCGTCCTTTCAAGTTCGGCTAACCTAGACGCTTGTTGCAAATCCTTCTCTTGCAGAGCTAGAATGGTGGTATCACGTTCGGCTACGGCACGTTGTGCTTCTTGATAAAGGTATTGGGTCTGAGCTTGGGCCTGGGCCTGTTCAGCATTAGCTCTATTGCGAACCTCTGCTGCGTACCTTTCAGCTAAAGCCCTAGTCTGACCTACCTCTTCATGGGCCTCGGAAACGACTGTTTGCGCCTGAAGCCTAAGCACCTCGGCCTGTTGCCTGGTTGCCTCCTCTTGCTCCGCAGCGCCAATGGCTTGCTGCCTCGCATTGAGCTCGTGCTCACGTGCGTAATTCACGGCCTGTTGAGCTTGGGTTACAAGGTTCATTGCCTGATTCCTAAACAACCCTTCCCTTTGTTGGGCGGCTTCCCGGAGTTCCCCCGCCTCCCTTCGGGCCTGCTCAGCCAGCAGTTGCTGTTGCTGTGCATGTTCAGCGGCCTGAAGCGCGACATCGGAAGCATGGTGGGCACGTTGAACGGCGGCACCCGCAACAAATGCAGCAGCTGGGAGGTTCTGGGTTGGATCGGGCGTTCCAGCCGGCTCTGATGAGGATGGTTCTGAAACGAACATGCGCCTAACAGGGGTTGCATCGGAATCTGGTGCAGGGCTATTAGGGTTATGCCTAACAACAGACATGGCTGGCACCATTGCACCCGCAAGGTCTGGGTCATCATAGTCTGTGCCATGTGAGGATCTAGACCTATCTTCGGATGGGGGTGTAATGCCAGAGGGATTCATGCCTGAGCCGCACGGATGCGATAGCTTTTCCTGCACACGCGAACCAAGTCAGTGCGCCAAAGGCAGCACTCTCCAAGGCCGGTGATTTGTGCCTGGTGGGATTATGAGATGTGCGCTTACGGCTACACTCAAAACAGATTATTGAATGATGCAGCAACACACTCAGTCACACAAGGATTGATATGCCTCACTAATTGATAATGGGGAATCTCCTTTGAACCTAAACTTCTGATTGCAAATTGGATGCAAATGTGCAGGCTCACCAATGCAGTTGTGTGCAATTGGAAATGTGTGACTTCGTGCGTCTTTGCGCCACAGTTCTTCGGGGCGCCAACGGCTGCCCCCTGCACAGGTTGGGAAAAATATCCTAGGTGCGCCAACGGCTGCACCCCTGTCGTGAGCACCAGGTGATCTGCTACCTGCGGACCTCCTCAAGGAGCTCTGCGGCAGTAAGTGCACGGGCAGGCTGGATGGTCGCTCGGTCGGCTTGATCCAACCACTGCTCAATAGCAATCAACGCGTCCAGAGTCCCTTGCACCCCCTGGCTGGGGTACGCCCGGAAAGCGTGCGCGCCTGTAAGTCGCGCCTCACGACAGATTGTGGCGTTGTCGTCCACAAGGATGTGTGCTGCCCAACCGTGCAATAGGTTTGCTTTGCCAGCAACGCCAACCCTGGAGCGCGTGAACTGCGTTGTACCCACGTAGATGCCCTTGTAAGCCAGGTGTACCCTTGCTGTGGCGATCTCCGGTGCCGTAGTTCGTTCGCGCTCGACCCCACAATAGCTGCAAATAATCCAATTGAACGGACCGTGAGCTGTCTGTAGACGAATCAATCCGTCCACGATCTGTGGGTGAAGCCTTCCCCCAGAGCGGATGTTCACGTCGAGCACCCCGTGCCAGTCCAGGACGATGTTGAGCGTCTTCCGGTCCGCAAGGGGTGTCCAAGGTGGGGGATCTGGGATCCCGTGGCTTTCTCGCCTTGGTGGAGGAGGCTTCGGTGGCTCTCGGTTGTCGCCAAGGTGGGTCTGGAGCGCCAAAGGCTGCTCCCTGCCCTTTTGGTGGCAACCTCAACGATGCCGGCGGCTGTTTGTACCTGATGTGTGGGCCAGGCCGGCTGTTTGCAGGGACAGAAGCCTTTCTGGCTGGCGGTGCCGCTAAGCGTGGGGGCGAAGAAGATCTTGCTTTGCTCAAAACACGTCCGCGACTGCTTGCCAAAAATGCTGCAACTGTCCCCCGCGCCGCTGGCCGCGGTCCGCACTTTACTGTGGCTTTCGTAGCAGGGGCCGAAGGTGAGGCCGGCACTGTAGGTCTATGAAACGGTGCTTCGTATACCCCACCCGCCCGGAATGCTGCTCTGCCTGAAAGCAAATCTTCTGTGTTGTGCACCGTGTCCCCGTCGGAGTAGTCTTCCCGGTGGTAGACCTCCGCGTTCCCGTAGTTTGGGGTCGAGGAACGGGGCGGAGCCACACGTCCGTTGGCAGTTCGTGAGGATCACTGAACTGCGGTAGACGTGAGCGGGCTCGGCCTGCAAATGCCCGTGGAGCGCCGGAGGGCTGCTCCCTCTGCAGTGTCCACGTGCCGGTCCGGTCGATGCGGATTGTGGGATAGGCCGAGCTCCTTGGCGCCAGCACGATCGGCCTGTCGGTTGGCGAGGTCCTTGATGGCACACTCCTCGATCTGCCACGCGAGGATCGACTGGTCGTCGGGCGAGGAGTTCTGCCAGTTCCCGAAGGCTCCCGACTGCTCGACTCGCCTGCCGCGCCGAGGGCTGCGGCCTCCTGGATCGGTGTCGGAGTTCTTGACCGAGAGCGAGACCTAAGCACAATGGGTACTTGGGAATAAACTGCTCGCAGAACTTGCCTTGACACTGACCGTGGGGAGGTCGTAGATGTCCTTCTCCTCGGAGCTGTACCAGTCACCGCGCCTTGGGCTGCGGTCCTCGCTGTAGGCAAAGCCGGAGCAGACAACCAAGCCTCAGCAGGTGAAGCCTGCTGGGCCACGGAAGGCTACGCCGCCTGCTGCTGCTGAGGTGGTGTAGATGGAGTCGGAGACGAGGGAGTGGCAGGCACTGGATTTGCACCTGCCGCGCCAGTGGCTGCGGCCCTCCGTTCTTCTTCACGGATTGCCCGGATGCGAAGGGCCGTAGGCTGATGCCACCTGTGAAGCTCCTCCCAGCGCTGCTCGGTGACGTCCCGGTTCCAGGCCCGAAGGGCAGCAAGCTGCACCTCTGATCCCTGTTCCCACTGCAACTTGGGAGGTGTAAACCCAAAACGCTGCTGGACCTCGTCGATCACGTCCTCCTGGAGCTCCCACCACACTCGCTTCTTGTTTGCGGCTCCTCCACGGGTACCACGTTTGTGGTACTCTTCCTCGACGGCCATGCGCGCCCCCTTATGGGGGAACCGCTGAGGGAGGGCCTAGTTAATCCCGAAAGAAAGGCTATACGGCTGATAACCAATCAAAAGAGCAAGAAACCCCAAACGCGCGCCGAAGGCTGCGCCCTGAACAAAAAGAGGTGGATTGACCGTGGTTAATCCCTCAGCGGTTCAGGGGGTTGTCTCTAAACTCTAGTTCCGCACTCAGCGCCCTTTTTCAGTGAGCGCTTGAGCCAAACGGCGTTTGCCGTTTGACAAGTCTGTCATGTCATGCAACCCTCAACCTAAACCAAAGTGGCCTCATGCAAACCTCACGCCAGTGAACACACAACTAGGCAAGTTACCATGCCTTTGGGGGCAAAGGGGTCGTTATTTCTTGACTATGGGGGGTTGCTCTGACTCCTCCAACATCCTCCGGAAACTCGCAGGCCAATCCCTTGCGCCAAGCAGCTTGTAGCGCAGCTCGCCCTCATCGTCCAAGTAGGCAGACTCAGTGGCCATGCGGTTTCTTCTGGCTCGACTCACAGTAGATCACAACAGATCCTGCGTGGCTCAATCAATCAAGTGGGCCAATGTGTCGATGCTCAAAGTGATTGTGGTTTCGCAACTCTCGGATTGCAGGATGGTCGCCCTAGGCTGGTGTTGCTCTTGATATGTGGCTCATTTGTGCCACTGTGAATGGTTCCTTCCGGGGTGCCGGATCATTTCGAGCGGTGACCGCTTGTGGAGGGCCCCAGTGCTGCAAGGTAAATTGGCTTTCTGAGGTACACCATTCTGAGATTACCCAAATACAACAGGTTTGGAGGAGACCCAAGGTGATTTGGGGCCAATGCTCCAGCTGCCACCGAACATGGCCGCCTGCTTCGCGTTGCACAACCCATCAGCCAATGAACTAAAAACGATGTTGCAAGCAGAACTCACAGCCATACAACGAATTGAGCAATAGGATTTCAGCAGATCGACCCCAAGGGCTCCACAAACGAAGGCGGGCAATTCACAGATATCTCAGACAGGGACGGCGTGCTTGGCAGCTGGTTTTTACAAAGGACCCTAAACAAAAAGGACACGCTTCTGAAGGTATGAGTGCCATTGCCACCGAATCTCGTTGTCAAAAGCCCAAGACTTGGACTTGGTTCTGGATAACCAGCTTATGCCCTTCGCAGCTCAGCATTCTACGGGTGACACAACCCCAATTGCCCAGTGGTCAGTGAACATAACACGCCATGCCAAACGTAAGAAGGAGAAGAAAAAGAAGAAGAAAACTGCCACTTTCAACTGATCTTTCCGAACTCTGTCAAAGTCTCTTCAGATCGAACTGAAACTTCCTTTGACACGTGAATCGACCCCAGCGCAAGCTTCCGTCTTGAGAATCGGACCATCAATTCCTGGTCTGGCACCTCAAGCCGAGAAGTCCCCTGAATGGCAGTGCCTTCAAAATGTTTCGGACCCGTTATCATCCAATCAAAATGCCTATGTTCAATCAGAATTTATCGAAACATCGTTCTATATCAAAATTCAAACTTACTTGAACTACTTTGCAATTATGTTCTTTACACATCAGGTATATATCATTCAATCAATACTGTGCCAAGGCGTGGTTGTGAACTGAACACATAAGCTCTTGCACACAGGCCTGAAACGGGAAATGCAACAAATGACTTAGCCAAGGCTACTCGATAAAACCAAAAAAAACAAGGCAGCCACAAATACACACCGGTACTCAATGGACCCAAGGAAACCCGTGCTATTTTCGGGGACTTTGAGAAACCTCATGAGCATTTGTTATTTTCGGGCACTCTGCTTTTTCCAATAGGATCAGCCACTGCTGCGTTTCGCTAGCATGGCTGTTGCCCGGAATGCGTGAGGCTGGAATGCACATTCTAACTGGGCTGCTCAAAATGCTCAAAATGGAGGATCCGGTTCGACCACAAGGAGAACAAATCAGGTCGTGTCAGGGAAGGATGCGGCGATTCAATTCGGAGCGCATCGGTAGTGACACTCCTTGCCCATGAGCTTTGATCCATGCCGACCTTTGAGGCCTTTGGGACAATCACGATAAAATGTCCTCCCGGCCCCATCTTTTGTTTGGCAACCCAAGAGGACCCAAAACGGGCTCCCGAAAAAGGCTCCAACCAAGGGCCCAATCATGCGTGCATGGTAGAACCTATGTGTCAGCATGCAGTCTGCCAAATAGGGTTCGAATCCAACGGAAAAAAAAGGGGAAAAAAAAGAAAAAAAAACAACGTTGCTTCCATCCGCCAACCAAAATGGAGCTACGTCTAAAAAAGGCCCCAGGAAAGGGGTCCCGGGGTCGTTGCCATGTTATGATTTTGCTTCACAGCGAAGCGTTTGGGTCGACATGCAGTAGGACCCGAACCCTTTGGTTTCGGTTGCGCCCACTTTTTTTGTCGCTGGCTGTGTCTTTTTTGGAGATCCGGGATGCCCCTTTAGGGTGATTTTTGGGGAAGCCACAGGGCCCCGCCAATTTTTGCTGGGTCCATCTTTCTTCTTAAGTGAGGCTCAGACATCAGAACCCTTCTCTGGCCCTGGCAATGTTGTCCTCAGGGCAGCTGGCGTTCACCGCAGCACCCACCGCCGGCAGACGGCAAGACACCTGGCTCTTGGCTTTCCCTGAAAGCAAACGCCCTGTAAACGTCGAATCAGGGCAGTCTAGGGAGGTTCGGGGCGGCTGGGGGGGGGGGGCGAGGTCTATGCGGCTGGTCCATTCTATGTCCATCACTGGTAGGTATTGCGCGAGAAAAATGAGCTTCTAACAGCCAGGCTGGATGACACCTATGCTGCTTCATATTCTTGCCATCTGCTGAGAAGATGCAGGACTGAAGATGGTCCAACTGTACCGGCCCCCCAAACAAACATCCTCTCCCGTCGTGGCATCTTGGGTGATCCTGGGCCATCGAGTCAGGAGACGACTTCTGAAACCACACATCCGAGCGTTCAGCCTATCTAGAAACCAGTGGGGTTGCTTCAAACGAGGTCTCTTCGCCTGTCAGCGGTAAAACACACACACACACACAAGAATCAGGCTGAGAGTGTGACAGGAATTGTGCGAGATTTGCGGGAAGTGGTCGGTTTGGCTTGGCATGATGGCATGTCACGTTGAGGTGGCTGATGACATGACCATGGTGAGGTTTTGGCTCAGCTGACATCCCACCACTGTTCGAAGAACGGAAAAAAGTTCGGACAATTTAGGACTGGGAAACAGGTAGGACTAAATTAGGGCAAGGTGGGAAACCATTCCATAAGAAAGGTGTGAGAAAGTTACGGGCCTCGAGAAATCCAATTTGCGAAAGCCATGGGAATGGGGCTGAGCGGCGGTGGAAACGCCGGGAAAGCTACGGCTTGAACCTATGCAGCCATCCTCTTGGGGTGAGTGGCAGATTGTTGGAGCATGAAAGAGGACAGCTGTTGTCAGGGCGGAGACGGGGGTGTCTTTTTTGTGTTGCTGGGTTTTTACTAGATCCTATTTGTGTTTTAGCTTTTCAGTTGGAGCTTAGGCTGTTGTGGAGTTTCCACGGTTTCTTCTGGTGCGACTTTCAAGAGCCCCCGGCTTGAACCGATCCCATTTGTTCTTAACCTAAGGTAGCAAAACCACCTGGTCCCACCATGTGCTCCACTAGGTCCTCCAGTAGAGGGGTAAGAATATGGGTACACTTCTTCTTATGTAGTCTAGTTGAGTAGGGGAACCCTCCCCCGAAAAAAGAAACGGTACAAGGGCACTACTGGGGGACCCACCGACCACGCGAGCCTCACAGTTCTCCCCGCCATCGAGGCTGCGGTTGCACGGCGAGATGTCCTCGGCTCGGACGTCTCCGGAACGTCGGTTTCGCGACGACGGGTGGCACCGTGTCCATGTCGCCGGGGGTGGTAAAAACGTAGGTTTTAGGCAATCTGGGGTGGTAAAAACGTAGGTTTTAGGAGGCGCCTATCTTTCACCTGTGATTCTTTGGCCACGTTTTGTTGAGTGGAGATCGGAGACTTACAGGCGAAATCAATCTTTGCGCTGGCGATGGTAGAGCCAAACGGCACATTGTCACCTGATGGGCAAAGCGAAGGAGGTGCGATGGCCACACGCAAGTGGTTGTCGCGTGCATCTTGGTTCCATATAATGATGTTCCTCAGCTTGAAACAAGGAAATCTGGGAAACGGATCCTTCTTGGCAGAGCTTGCTTGAGTCCCTCTGTTAGGGTCACAAAGACACAAACCAAAGGACCGTCTAGCACCACATACCTAGCTTTTTGTCAAGTGAGTGTAACTTGGTAAGTGAGAGTAAGTATGTGTAAGGAAGTAAGTTGAGTGATTGAGAGTGAGAATGGTTGAAAGTCACTGAGCGTAAGTTGAGTGAGTGAAAGTCAGTATGTGTAAGTCAGCGTGTGTAAGTTGAGTGAGAGACAACACATATGCGCAGGTTAGGGATACAAATGCGAAAGTTAGTGAGTGTAAGTTGAGTGAATAAGAATAAGATTGATTGAACGTCAGTGAGTGTAAGTTGAGTGAGTGAGAGAAAGTGTGTGTGTAAGTCAGTAAGGGGGCGAAATAAGGTATGCATCAGTTAGTGAGTGTAAGTGGAGTGAGTGAGGGTGAGTATCCGTAAGCTAGTAAGCGCAAGTTGAATGAGCGAGAAAAAGTATGTGCACCACCTCGCAAACGCACCAAAGGCGTGCACAAAGTCAGGAACTTGAACTTGAACTTGAGGTCGACGTCAACCTGTGCTTACTTAGATGCGGTTGGACGCCAAAATCGCCACCCAGGTGAGCGTCAAGCACTCAGCACCACAAGAAACCATGCTGCAAATACATGTTGCAAGTGGTGTCACATCTGGTCGCAGAGGCTGCCAGTGGCATTACTGCCACCCAGTTGTACGAGTCACCAGCTTTTGAGGCATGCGATTGGATACCAAATTCACCACCCAAGCGAGCATCAAGTACCCAGCACCACAAACGCGCAAGCCAGCATGAGCACCCACACACAAAGCACTCCGCTTGTCGCACATCAAGCTGCCAAGCAAGAACCGCCGCCCAAGCCGACCGCTCCGAGCCGAGCTGTCTAAAGCACTGTGCCTGTCACGCAATTGAGTGAGAGTAAGTATGTGAAAGTGGAGCGCGCGAGAGTGAGAGTGGTTGGATGTGAGTGTAAGCTCAGTGTGAGTGCGAGTTGAGTGAGTGAGAGGAAGTATGTGCAAGCGGAGTGAGTGGGTTCAGGGTGAGTGAGTGAGAGCAAGTATGTGTAAGTTGAGTGAGCGAGAGTCCAGAGGAGGCAAAGCAGAGGCGGCCGAGGAGAGCGGCGCGGATGACGACAATACAAGCAAGAACTCCACAGAAGAATGTGGTGAATAAAAAACAGCCAAAACACGCACAGGCAGATCGACCCCTGCCATGCAAAGCAAGCTGACAGCATTGTCCCTCAGGAGTTCTGGCGCGCTGCGTTATGCCACTGGCAATGTGCTACTCGGAGAGCCTGTCAGTTCAGTTCTGTGTGCGCCGCGAGAGGACGGCGATCGGAAAGGCAACCGCAAGTGGCTGTTGCTCAAGTAGATTGTCGTAGGAAACAAGGACACTCTTTGTGTGGTTGATTGTACTGGCCCCATTATTCTACAGGTGTCAAAGTCACGTAAGTGGTAAAGGGAAATACCCGCAGCTTCGGACTTTGACAACCCCCAGAAACAGTCAAGACACTGCACCCAGTTTTATAGAACAAAGAGCGGGTGCCCTTCGGTCTGCGCTCCGGCAAAGAAATCCCTCGTGTCGCACTGAGCACCGGGCATACTCGCACGGGGGGTTGGACATGTTCATGGGCCTACCGGAGCTGAACAGGAAGCACGGACTTGCTTCACCCTGCTGGGACAATATGGACAATCAGCTCCATTTCTGGGCTGGCTCTGAGCTGCCTCGTGCAAGGAACAGTCTGAACAATGACAGGTGTTTCAGAGCAGTTCAATGGTGTGAGTGTTTCTGTTGTTTTTTTTGGGATTGCTTGAACAGTCAAGAATCAGGTTGTGATACCTTTGTATGCAGATTCACTTACTCAAATATGTTGAAATATCAAACATGACAATATCCATGCAACAATCTGAACATACACTATTGAGCTGCGACTGCCGCGGCTGCTGGCAACCAGGTCCTGTGACCCCGCATGCATGCAATCACATGGTTGGCGCCTTTTACCCACCCCACGGAACAAACAAACAGACAAACACACAAACAAACAAACAAACAAACAAACAAACAAACAAACAAAACAAACAAACAAACAAACAAACAAACAAACAAACAAACAAACAAACAAACAAACAAACAAACAAACACACACAGACAAACACAAACACAAACACAAACACAAACACACACACACACACACAAACACACAAACACACAAACACACAAACACACAAACAAACAAAACGGGAAGCACCAAAACACATAAATAAGCACAGGCAGCACACGCGCTTGCGTGCACGCATACACACCCAAGCCCACGCGCACACGCACAAGCACGCACAAGCACGCAGGCACACTCTCATTCTTTGCATTGCCCGGGACATGTTGTCGAGGTGTTTGCCCCCTGGAAGGCACGGACCTAACACTCCCTTCGCCGGAAATGTATGCCCCCTAGCACTGAAGCGTTCATTCTGCCCAAGGTGGAATTCCTCCGGCAAAAGTAACAGTGACCCATTGCTCTTCAGGCTTGGCCCCGTTGCTTCCCACCAACCAATGCCCATCCCCATTTGGTGTGCTTTGTGGGAAACTGTGAGCTGATTAGCAGTTAGCAGCAGCTGAGTAAACAGCCTAGTGCAGCAAGACATGCGTTTCAAGAACATCGACCGCAAGAATGCCCCCTGGAGCGAAGAACGGAACAGCTGGATTCCCTTTGTTCCCCAAAACTGACCCAGACCGGGTGTTGGGAATGACCCACAGAACATCCACCGCAAGAATTCCCCCCCCTCCGAAAAGGAAACAAATCGAACGTAAGAAAGTTGCTCTCAAAAAACTTGGACATGGGGATTTTCCCGACAACGGAAAACAAACCACTCGGGGGATGGATCTTTTTCTCGGGCTCCCCGAAATAGCTAAGGACCCGGCCGGCAGCGCTGCAGAACTCCGCAGCCCTGGAAGACCAGCTGCGGCACGCAGCCGTCCAGCACCGTGCACAGCACCTGGGCACGGGAGTTGAGTTCCCCGGAGGAGTTCCCCGGAGGAGTTCCCCTCACGTAAGTTCCCCGTAAGCTTCACCTGTCCATGAAAATAGGGGTCACAGGACCCTCACGACTTCTCATTCCCGAAAGAAAGTTGAGCAATGTATGGGTTTCACCCATCCATTCTCATAGGGGGCACAGGACTTTTTTGAATCGTTGGCGGGATTCAACAAAAAACTAACACGCTTGCAAATTCGGGAACCCTGTTTCAAAATGTTGGATGTGGGAAAAATGAATTTATCCATTCTCCATGAAAGAGGCAAAGCGGAAGGGTTGAAGCCCTGTTGAATGTACAGCTTGCAAGGCACAATCTCCACTTTGCTTGGCATGGGAATTGTGGCATCCGTTTTCACCCTGTAAACAGGAAATTACGCCGAAAGGAAAGCCACGGGACCATTGGGTTCAGCAGAAGTCCGGCCAAAACGGTCTTGATGCAGTCAGAATCAACAAAACCAACGTGTTAAATTCTGGCCAACATCAAATATGATGGTCCTCTGCACTTTTTTAGTCCACAAGGACCTTTTGATCACTTTAAAGTAAAAACTCGTAGCTGAATCGCTCACCGGCCTCCGGTTCGCCACCGTATCCGTCTTCGCAGTACCAGTCGCCCTCCTTAGCCGCATGCGGAATGTGTCCATCGAGCGTCCAATGTGAGGAACCGCAACTTCACCGCGGGTTTACAACACCTCTGGCTGTGGGTCAAAATCCCGTACCCCCAGTGAAAATCCCAATCCCCACTAAAGTAGACTAAACTGGGTGATGCAACTACCCCAAAATGTTACCATTGGTTTTGACCCACAGCCCTCTCAATTCCGGAGTACTTTTCTGGACCCTCTCATTCGGCTTGCATGTGAATCAGGGGAGGAACTCTCCGTTTTATCTTCAAGGCAGGCGACATGAGATCCATGCCGTGAAAAATCACTGGAAACATGTATCAGGGACACCTGCAAACAAGCAAGAAACTGCTTGTTGTTGGTTTGGCAAGAAGTCCGTGCAAAAAATGGTGTCAGTAGATGCGGAAGCGCAAAGATGTTGAAAGACATACAAAGAAAGCTTCACATGACGCCTTCTGCAAACTCTAAGGCTAGCACCAAATGATTCGCGCACAGCATTGATATATCCGCTTGATTGAGTGCGCAGGCTTGGGACTAGCAGAACGTGCTTCTGCGTCGACTACAGCAACTTCCCTAATCCTAATTATGTGTGCAACAAATGAGACCTGGTTTCCTGTTGGTTTCCGAACCAACTCCTTATCAAACATACGCAACACCCTGGTCGATTCCGGGGGTCCAAAGGCTGGGGCACCGACCTGAGCGGGCCCATCATTGGAGATGACCTCATGCGAGCGGCGAATTCGGTCGATTTGGTGGCAAGCCGGCAATATACCTATGGCTCCCAGGGCAAATTATACGCATACATTCTAACCTGCAAATGAGGAATGCCCGAGTAAGGCACCTTCGTCATAGATGAAATGCTGTTTTACCCTGAGGCCTTGCACATGCAGCTTCACACCTCCAATGAGAAGCTACAGAGGGCCAAAGCAGTCTGCCAGTGGTGCGGCACTAACTGAGCTCGGCACGCCTGTCTGATTGTAACCTGGCGCGCGCATGCGGACATTCTGCTCCTGGCATGCAAAGGTTCAAGTTAATGAAATCCCTCCCAATCCCTCACAGCAGCCAAGTAGCCGCCCTTCCGTGCAAGCAACACCTTTGGATGGAAAAAAAAAAGCAGTGTCCTCACGTGCCTCAACAAATCAGAAGCAACTCTGGAAAGAACATCGCCCCAAAGGCCTGCCGGCCACTCGGCTAGGTCATCTGGACAATCGCAAGCGAGGGGTGGGTCCTGGGCGCAGGGACTCATGGAGGTTCCCAGCCAGTTGGATCATTCGGTTGATGCGTGTTTCCAACCAACCAACCAACCAACCAACCGACCGACTGACCGACCGACCAACCAACCAACCAGGCATGTGTTGTCTTATTCCTTTTCATTTTCCTTTCTTCTTGCTTGGGGGGGCTTTGTTGCAAGTACAGTGTCTACTCCATACTTTGCGCACAGTGTTACTTTGAAAGTGCGTGCATCGATCTTTCCACATCGATAGATCATATCAACCCGTCTGTGAGCAAGCCAAGGGGAATCGTTTGTGCAAATTGGGGGCCAAAATACACATCGAGTTTCCCAGCCAGTTGGATCTTTCAGTTGATGCGTGTTTCCAACCAACCAACCGACTGACCGACTTGAATGTTTCCTTGTTCCGCTCCCAAAGAACCTATTACCTTCAGGGAAAAGCAAGTTCAACCAATTGTGCCTCTTTAACTTGGTTATTGTCTCCTATACAGTGTGGCATACGGAACTGCACCAGGGAACCGCAGGTTGTAGTCCTTGTTGACCCACACACAAATTTATGCCTGAACCAGGAAGCACACGGCTCTCTGTCGACTCTGACTCACTTCCGAAGACTTTGTCCAAGGTTGCGCCCTCACTGGCCGTGCCCAACTTCACAGGCTACTGAGGAGACGCGCGCAAGTCACATGGCACAGGTAGAGACCAATTGAAACAGCTAGGTTTAAACTCGGATGCGAAATCTGCTCCGCTAAAAGTATAACTAGTGGTTTAATGGAAAACCCAGTAGTTGGCAAAAGGTTAAAGTCCTAACATCCAAGCAACATGCACCAAAGTAAAAATGGCTTATCAGTTGGGCGAAATGTGCGCTTTAATAGCTACGACCCTATTACATGGTGCCCCAAAGCTTCAACGCTGTGCGAACTGAGGCAGCTGCGTATATCAAGCGCTGAAATGGGTCGGTGTTGTTCCTGACGGGAAGGCAACGTTTGGGTGTTGCAAGCAGCAAAGCAACGTGGATTCCTGTTTGAGCTTCGAGTGTGGTGATGCTGTTACGATCCAATTGATCCCATTGATCCCGATCCAATACTGGTTCATAGCCATTGACAATTTATGAGGGTTGTGGCCCACGAGACACGAATAGTCACCAATAGGTTGCAACCGTGCGCGGTTGAGCGCCTTGGAGTCATGCATGCGTCTCAGCGCTCATGTAAGCCTCTTTGCATACTTTGCTAAACCTCTGGGCAAGTAAAACGGGTTCAGGTTCGAATCACGTGATGTAGCATTACCCGTTGTGTCGCTTTGGCAGGTCTGCACCGGGGCAAGATATGAATGAACAACCATCATGTAGCGTGCCAACGTTTGCAACGCTGCCAAAGTTCTCCGCATCCACTAGCTGTGC